CATCCTCAAAGGCCACTCTGATCTGTGTAACCTGATGGCTCCTGCTCAGGGAATTTGCTCCTTTTGGGGAATTAGCAGTGTTAACACTAGAAGAGGAAGAATATCAGAACAGCATTACTGTATCTTTCTTTGTCAGCYRGTGATTGCAATATGCCTAACAATRTTGACATAATATGAATTTATATTGATATCTTGTAAAGAATAAGCTGTTTAGCAAGTAGTGCTTAGAAGGGAACYCCTTTCCATAGTGGGAGGAAGGATCTGTGTAACTTTGGCAGCTCCAGCTTTGCACACTAGCACCAGGAGGAGCTCCTCAGTGTTCCYTTTGGCCTTTACAGCTGGAATCTTGTCCTTCTCATCCAGGAAGAGGGCAGCAGGGAAACCTCCAAAGGCTGCACAGCACTTGATCTTTCCTACACGTGGATTCCCTAGTGGATGCCCTTTCCCAATGTAATAATTTTAATCAGTGAAGTCTSAGCTGAACCATCTAAGCAGTGTCTCTTTGCTAACACATTGTTGAGGGCAGTATGCTAAATGCACTAGTAGGATAAAAGAAATGTGTAATGAGAATGCTCCATCATTGGTGTGATTTAATTAAATATATTTTCACTTCATATGGATAAAAATTCTATATCTAAATCAAATTAATTGAAATTTATTTGGCTTTTTTTTTCTTTTAATTGACAGTTGCTACTTACTTAGCATGAACAGCTCTTTACTGGAATTGTTATTTCAAAGGCTTGTAAGAATTACAGTGACTGTAATACTTTCTCATATAGAACATGTTGGAAATCTGCTGAAAATATAACWGAGTTTAATACTTAAATTAAAATGTGGGCAAGAATTAAAAGTATTCTGTGTTTTCTGTGCTTAGATTCTCCKGGAAAAAAAATCTGCTTCTAAATTATTTTCATTAAATGAAGCTTTTATGTCTCTTTATTCCTTGATTARGAAAGCAATGATTTGAAAAATTCAAGATATTGAGGTCTCAAAAGTGTCAGGGATGCTCAGCTTCAGAAAGCATAAGTAAACATTTCAGTGCAATATGCTCAAAATAAATTGCTGTGAATGCTTGTGGATATACAAATATTTCTGATCAGTTTAATGGGTCAAWTTTTCCTATAATTAGAAAGGCACTGACTGTACTCACGCACGATCAAGTTAATTTCTCACCACATTCTGTATGAAACGGCAGCGTGATGCATCTGGTGAATGCTTATCTAAATCTTCTTGCAAGAAGTGTTGAATCTGAACACTGCCTTATGAATTTTCTTTTCTTTGTTTTTTTTTTTTTTTAATATTGAGAAAATAAAGAATTAAAGACTGTTTTGGAAGTACTTTCTTGAGAACCATCAAAAATGAAAAATCCAGGATTTAGATTCCAAGTTCAGGTTGTCACTCAGGTTTTAAGTTCTGCCTGCTCATGACCTATTTCAGCATCTACACTTGGTGACCTGATGGTCATGGTTCTGCTTTGTAATATGTTTTCTTTTTTTTTTCTTTTTTTTTTTTTTGTGACAGTCTTTTCCATTACGCCCATTCAAACTGACTTTCCAGCATTCTTCACACTTTTATTGTTACTTACATGGGAGAAAATGGACTGAGAAGTTGACAGCCAGGGTGAAGCATGAACAGGCTTTTCACTTGGTAGTGTTGTAACTGGCTTCAGATGAGTCTTACAAATGAATGAGTTACTGTCAAAGGTTTGAGATGCTAGAAAGCCTGGGTGGCTGTGGTTGAGCACTGTCAAGTCTGAATGATCTCTTGGAGACAGTTCATTGGAGTAAAATTTAATCTGGTTTTAAAATTCAGATCTTTTTTTTTTGTTTTTAAGACCTAAAGATTTGTTATCACAAACCATCAGAATAATCCTCCCCCCCAAACTGTATCCCTCTAATATGTTAGAGATTTTTCACATCTGCTCTTTGATGAGGTGTCTGATTATAGATTTTTGCTTTGTCCTGCATTTTGTTCAAGTTGATGAAATTCAGATTTGCCTGTAGATAAGCCTTTTGCTTTTCAGTTGCTTCCRCCTTGCAAAGAAATTAATTCCTTCAAGCCAGTGAGTCTGCAGCTCCAACTGCGACTGTAGATGAATGCTCTTGCAGGGTCATGTGCTGTAGCTCTGAACCTAAATAAAAGGATTAATAAGAGTTCACTTGGAGGAAAAGCACTTAATTTCACTATAATAACTATGAGAATCCATAGGGAAAACCAATAAAGCTTTACTATTAAAATTGTTAACAAATGATTATTCCACCCTGACCCTCTCTTCCTGCTGTTATTGTACTTTTGGAATGGTAACAAATGATRGGATTGACCTAGTTCATGGTAGTGCTTTAGTCCCTGGCCACAAATGATCTTTTTCTTGTAAAATAATTCCCAGTGTAGGTCTTTTAAGAAGCAATGGTAGCATTTATGAAGGAAACAATGTTTTCTGATGCAATTTCTGATTTCACGCAATGTTCTGCCCCAAAATTTTGCTTGGTGTGAAGGAAGAAGGGATGTCATGTAGACAGTGGTGCTGGAACTGAGCTGTGAAGGTGGTGAGCAAGTCCTGAYTGGTAGATTGGTGACCAATATGAGTCCCTGTCTAAAAAATGCCACAGTGTCCATCTGGGTTACCTGCTGGGAGCTCCTGGTGTTGAAGCCAAAGCATAAAGGCTGGTGCATGAACAGGTCTCTCCAAAAATGGTCTGAGGTTCTGATTGAACACACACTTAGCACCAAGAACTGAAAAGCACTTTGGGTTCTGTCTTGTGCTTTTGTGCTCCTTACTTTTGCTTCAAAGATTTTGCCCCTTTGAGACATGTTTATGTGCCTAGTATATATTTGCAAAGAAGTATAACTTGTAAAAGTATTCATCCATGTGTCTTTCATCAGTAGGTCACCTATTATTTCAGAGAAAAGAAAAATRTATGAATAGCATTGTGCTCTGTTTCAACTATGTTTTTTTGTTTGTGACCAGATGAGAATTACACTCAACTTTGGCTATTCACCTCTTTTTATTTCTCCCCAGTTTTCTGACTTGCATGCTCAGGAATGTGGTTTTTGTCTTTTTTTTCCCTCTTCATGATTATTTTGTGGAGCACCTTCTGAAACTGAAAGGATTACCAGCACTCCATAGGGATGGCTTAGGAGCCACAGTCTGAACAGAATTCCACATGAATTCCATTTTGTTCTTCACTATTACCCTTGTTTCAGCACTCTTTGAGCCAAATGTTTTTGATGGCCTTTAGTTTAATACTTAATGTGGCTTTAATTAGTCATAAGTGGCAACTATCCTTTAAAGTAAGGAACTACAGTCAAATAAATTAGGTATGTTCTTCTGTCAACTAATTTTATGACAGGTTTTATTTATTTATTTATTTATTTATTTATTTATTTATTTTTAATGGCTCTGTGTTCAGGTAAGCAGCCTGTGCTTTAGAGATGTTTCTGATTCTCGTACATTCTTCAGTGATATTGGGTCTCCTTACAGGAATTGAAGAGATTCTGTTGTAAGAGGCTTGGGTTTTAAAAGCCTGTTTTGTGCAAGCAGTTGGCTGCTATACTGGCTGGATTTTCAGAACCTTAGAGTAATAAGGTGAAAATTATAGATCAAAGCCACTGCAGGTAATGGTAATCTCTCAAGTGCCTCTATGTAGGTTAGGTCTTTCATTAGTCCATTGTTGTGTTCACACAAACAGGATTTAAACATGGATAGGGAACTGTAATTTAGGGTGAAAAGACAAGTTAGMAAAATAAATATTAGATAAGCCATTTTAGATTTGTAGAGAGCAAGATGAGTATCTGTGTGTGGATCAGGTAAGCTTTGCCTCATAATAAATGAGGTGTAGTGAAACACAGTTGTAGCCATGTCCTGAGTGATGCTTTGCTAAGCCTCACTGGAGTAGGCAACTGGACTGTCCATGAGAAGGAGCAGAAACCAGAATGTTCTCCATGTGCTACAGATTGCTGGAAATTGAGTGGGACCTATGTGGAGATTGCATGATGTACCTCAGATCTGATGAAGATAATTTTGTCATGTGCAAAAGGGAGGAAAAGCATGATGTAGAAATAAATTCACAATCAMATATGATGTTCTTTGTAAAAGCAAACCTGTGTGCTGCTACAAAGAAGGACTTTTCCTGTGTCCTTTCCAGAGCATGTTTTGTCCATGAAGTTTGTGGTGTCATGCTCKCAAATAGGGGAGTTAACTGCAGCACATGAAATATCAAAGGTTAATTTCCTGACTGCATTAGTACTCTGTTAATCAAACATAGGCRTGTGACACTAACAGCACACATTTTTTCCAATTTGGTATTTGATTTATAATATGAAGACTTTGCAGAGATACCATTTAACTGGTGCAAACTGTAGAGCTTTTTAATGTACTTGTGTTGTGGCTCTTAAGTCAAAATGCAGCACTAAGCAATGCTGTGTCCAGAATTTTAAAATATTCTTTGTACCTGCACTCTTAAACATAGAGCTTTCCAACAGAAAATAGAGGAAAAATGTTAAGGAAAGACATATTTCAGATTTAGCATAAGTAATTCTTTCTATGAAATGCAACCATAATTTGGAAACRTTGTTTCTTTTTCTGTGAGAATCGAAAAACTTCTCTAGAATTATTGTGAATTAATATCRACAAGTAAATATGTAGATGCAGCATAAGTGCCAAATCTTTAAACTGGCTATGGATCACTATTTATCTTTTGCTTTTTCTATTTTTACATGTCATGTTGATTTTTCTGTTTATAATTAGTTATTTTAGTAATTGTGTTACTTGTGGTTCTGATTCTGCCTCAGCAGAATGTATCGCAATTTTGTTTGAATGCATGGGGAAAGTCTAAATTTAAAAAAAAAATACATTTAAAAAATGGAATAATTTGAACTAAAAAAAAAAAAATCCTTGCAAATTCAGTGTAACACTAAATCCTGAGGCTTTATTGTTTTATTTGTAATGAATTTGGTGGCTTTTATATCATGTAACATGCTATTTCTTTTTAAATGCTTAGGAGTTCACCAGATCTCTTTGTTATGTGGTTGCTGAAGCATTATCCTGGGACAGCAGTAATGATGGATAGATGAACAGAACTCACTTCAGGTAAGAAATCAGATGTGTGCTATTTGGTGTGCCTGTTCATTAACTTTCCTCACATTGTTTCAGTTCAGCTTCAATAACAGCAGACTTTAATGTTACACCACTAAAATTCACTGAATATAAAATATAAATCTCTTGTCTACATGAATGTTTACATATATCTCTCTGGAAATCAGTGTCAGCAGGTTTTTTGTTTTCCTTCTAGATTTGGTAACCCTGGTAACAGATGCTGCTGCGGCTATTACAGTCTTTACCCTTGCTACTGTATAAATTTCCATAAGAATTTTATTTCGCATTAGCAGTTACAACTATAGGTCTGAATTGAAGGATAATTTCAGCMTTTCTCGAGTGGTTTAGGTAACTAAACTTGTTCTTTAAGGCTGTGCCAATTCAGGATATAGTTGTCAAGTTGTTGATATCCTTGGAAGTTAACACAAGCTTGTTAAAGCCTGCACAAAGGCAGGCAAAAGTTGGTATTGATTTCATGCTTGCTGTGCCACAAGCTTCCTGGGAAATCATGGACAAATTCTTCAGTTTCTGTATCAGTGAGAACTAAGTGCCTACATACGAGCAAGCTTGCATTTCTGGTAGAGAAAATAGTGTGTCCAGAGTACTTTTTTTTTTGCACAGCTCTGCTATTCCCGGGGTTACACTGAGCTTTCAGTGCACCTGAGGATCACTTTTTTTGTGCTGGAAGAGTAGATCTGCTAGGCAGCCAGTGCTCCAAAGTGAAGGTGGGTACTGCTAAATGCACATTTCAGCTAAAGGGAAAAACTTGGGCATATATAGTTATCCTATATACGCTGTTTTTAGTCACATGTGGGCTTTAGTATATTTGGGCTTCAATTTCCCTCTCCTTTCCTTCCTTTGTAAGAACATTGTGAAGATAGATGTGGTGGAGACTGTGTTGTCCTCAGGCTGGAGCCAGATGCATAGATAGGTGAAGACTGTGTTGTCTTCAGGCTGGAGCCAGATGCATTGGTGCAGTGTTAAAGAGGTGTCATAAGGCAAGGACACAAAATAAACAAAGGAAATATCCTGGAGTTTACTTTGTTCTCCAACTTGCAGGGTGCAAGAGAATAAACMTAGCAAACACATCAAAATGTCAATGTTTGTGGATAAAGGACCAGGTTAGGCCCAGAGCTTTAGGGAAGGCGTGGTATCCTCCTGTCCCACAGAGCGACTGACAGACAATGCCAAGGGAAGACAGTGGAGCATGTGGTGGCTTCCCAGCCATGGACCACAGATGAAGGACATGGGAGTCAGTGCTGGCTTCTCTGTTGAGTAGTCTTGGCTATGTGTTCCCTCTCTGTGAATATGGAAGGTTGTGTTCTGAACGCAGGAGGATTTTTAGGCAGGGCAGCTTTGTAGTRTTCAGGATTCCTCAGCTGAATTCCGAGAGGGAGGAAGCAAATAGTCCCTGAAGTTCGTTTTGAACCTCCTACCTGCTAATTTCATTTAACCTGGGGAATGGGTTGACGTGCCAAGAGACTCAATGAGCTGAGCTGAGTCTTTTCTGCTCCTGTGGGGTGGTAGGAAAGAATGATGGGTGCGAAGCTTTAAAGAGAGCTTGAGAAGCAGCTTGACTAAAATCTCCTTGAAGTGAAATGAAACCGCAGGACTTCTGTTGCCCTCCCACTGCTAGTGCCTTCCTAATGAATAGGTTTGAGGCAGCTGCTCAGACCTGTCTTGCTTTTCTCTTTTAGTTTATTTCCTGTGATTTTAACAGTAATTTGGGGTTTATGTTCTGCACCTCCTAGAGTGAGAGAAAGCAACRGAGAAGATGCTATGTCATCTAAGCTGTTAAGCAGTCATCCTGCCTTTTTTTTTTTTTTTCCCTGACAAGATTCAAGATCGTGTGGAAGAAACTACCATAAATTTAAAATATCCTGGGGATGCGCACTCAATGGGTGGAGCTTCCCAGCAAGACATAAAACTATAGGACCATTAATCAAAACTGAACTATATTTTTTCTTGTTGCTTTTCTTTTGCACATTTAAAATGTTGCTTTTGGATTCGCAGGAACTTTAGATGGACTAAAAAGAAAAAAAGGAATTACCCAATGATACCTTTGCAACAAAATCATTGTGCTGAGTACTTGACTGTACATATTGCACCTGATGTGTCGAGGCTATGGAAGGAAGCGTGAATATTGCATAAATCCACGTGACTTGCTTAGATGGAGTCTCAGAAAAACACTATGCAATATATATGATAACTATTATGGTGGGATTTCTGAACTGAAAAAGGCTGAAGGTGGGCCTCWCTGAAAAGATAAAATTTGACACTGTGAATGTGCTAACTGCAGAATTGAGAGTATGACACTTCTAAGTGTTAAGCCATTTCAAWTTCTGTAAAAGCAAGCAGAAACCAAAACTGCTCTTAGCTAAAATCTCAGAGCCCAGTTAAAGGAGAATAATTTAATTATACTGATTCTCCTTCTTGGCAGAGAATACTTGGGAGACAGAATTTATGCAGCTGGATAGAAGTCTGGTTTATTTTTGCTCTCGATTTTTGTTTTTGTTAAAAACAGTAGGGATCTTGGACTTAATAAGTGATTACAGAACCAGCTGAAGGTTGTACACTTTTTATATCTTAAGTGTGSCCTTATTTTCCCTTCTGTGTCTATATTTGGGGCTAAATCCTTATGAGATACRGGACAAATTGGATATAACATATCGTTTAAGGCTATTTCACTTGAAGATGACTTCACTGTGTGCATTCTGATGACACAGGGAAAAGCACATATAAGACTGCTAAGCCAGCTTTCTCACTTAGAGGAAAGTGTTGGGCACCTTGTTCTTCAAGTCCCAGAAAATGGGCAAGTGTTTTCCCTTTCGTGAATCGCTTTTGTGAGCCTGATGGATGCTGAACTTGCTTGCTGYACAAAATGACCAGATATTTAATGGAGAACCAAAAGAAGGAACCTCAAATGAAAAAGCTTTGCATTAGAACTGAGTGTGAACTGTTTGCTCGCTGTTTTATGCCTTCAAAAGGGAGAGATGATGGGGAGAAGGGCAAATCTGCTTTGTTTTCCTGTACAGGAAGGAGTGGCTGGGAAAAAAATGGCTTGAGAAAGATTGGGAGCGGAGAAAGTGAGCTGGACAATTTGATTAGACTAAAGAGAATAAGGTTTATCCACAGATCCTCTGGATGAATGAGTATATGTGGAGGTGGATTG